GACAGAATTAAGTCCTGTTGATTTAAATGGTCTGTTCTAGATATGACCAAGTTTGATCTAACTTACTCATTCCATTTTGTCTCTCTCTATCACAGGGAGAGACCCTGAGGGATTATTTCAGTCACATGCAAAGTAGCTTTAATTTCGATCCCAAAACTAACATCTTGAAGGGGGAAGATATGTCCCAAATAAAGTACTGCAGAATTATCTCATTTAGAAACACAAGGTTTTTTCATATACTGTGCAACAGAGAAGGGGAGAAATCGTATAAGTGGAGTGGGGGAAGAGAGTAGATTTATGAATTACTGGGGAAATGAGAGATGCATCAGATGATTGCCATTTGAAGGGATATCTCCCCTGAAGCTAAGGGAAATTGAAAGGCATCTACTGAATCTTAAAAGAAATTATAGTGATATCACACATCCTCCCTTTTTAATAGATGATTTGTATGCAACACTTCCAAGAAAATCGAGGGTATTACAAGTTACTGAATTGGACAGAATTGTCTTGTAGACACAGCATGAAAAAATGTGTAATAATGGGAGAAGTGTATGAATCTAGATTCTAGTAAGCCTAGATTCCTCGCAAAGCTCCTGAGGTTTATTGGGGTTTCAGCACATGCTCCCATCTAGGGCCCACAAAGCTGTTCTTGTTTCCTTTATCTAACATATGTATTTTTGTGACATTTGTGACATTGATACCATGCTTGATATTTGTAACAGACTCCATAATAAAGGAATTATCAGGACCCTGATCCTATTACTGCTTGCATCTGATCTATATTAATGGTATAATGAAATAGTTAGAGGGTGGCTAGTCTAAATATCTCTCTGCTTGTATAGCAACATGATCTGTTACTTTAGGAATTTATTACTGCAAGCCAGTACAAGATGCTTCTACACAGGGGTTTGACCCTGAAAAGTACGTGATTGACACTGTACAAAAATATTGGTGTAGGCAGAATAAAAATAGGTTGTCCTGTTGACTGGGAGGGGAAGAAGGCTTGGAGAAGAAAAAAGTGCCCTCAGAAATCACAGTCTAAAGGGCTGTCCTCTTGGGATTACCTAAAGGAAGGTTCGTTATCTTACCAATGGTGTGGATGTTGCAATGTTTCCAGGGCTGAATTTGTGTCTCTGTCTCCAGGAAGTGGAAGAATGTATGCCTCAAACTTGGTGGGTGAAGACGGGAGCTCCAAACAAGCAAATAGCAACCAGCTCATCACCACCTCTACTTCCTTTCTCCAAGCTTCCATGACAGATATTTTGTGTCATCCTTCTTTTCCTCCTTGTAACTCAACTAATTTCTCTTGCTCCTTTTCTCTTTGAGAGAAAACTTTAGCTTATATTTTTCCTGATGAATGTTAGAGCATTCTTTTCCTTTCCCATTTTCTCGCTGTGCCCTTTTCTTCTTGCCCTATAGTTTGGCTCTTTAATTTATTGTTCTTGTATTTTTAGTAACAGGGAGGAGGAACTATCCTTTGGACATTTTTTGCCTGGAGTACCAAACAAACGTGGCTGGGTTGACTTGGGGAGAGCTGGGCTACTTATTACTATTCTGTCTCAGACACCAAAATGTGATGGGCTTGCCTACTGTGTTGGGCATACTATGTCTAAAAACCTAGGAGCCAAACTAGGAGCCCCTTGTGATCCTCAAGAAGCCCCAACTAAAATTCACAATATTTCCTAGAATGGCAATATTGGCTGGAATGGCAATATGATATGAGAAACCACTGCTGAAAGCAGGAATAACTTAAACAGCTCCTTTATGGGTGTGTAAAATAGCTCCTGGTGAGCTGTCCAAAACTTGCCTAAGAAAGGTGAATTGGGCGTGAAGAACTGTGCATTTAAAGGAAAATACATCCAGAACTGAAATGTGGGATACCTGAACGCAGGACCAACAAATAATGCCTTTATTATACTCTATCCAGAGTTTTCATTTTAAAGTAAAATAATAATAATTTGACTTTTATTTTCTGGTATCAGTACAACCCTTTGGTTACAGGGAAGCTTAAATGTTGGACTAAATGGCCAAAAGAGATGCCATTCAGTGGAAAATTGAAGAGTTATCAAAAGAAACACAGCTTTACTACCTCACTGAGGTAGTAAAGCTGTGATTGTGAGCTATAGTATATCAGATGATGGGGAGGGCTGGTATAATTGAAGGTTAGATGTTATGAAAACTGGCAAAGCAAAGAATTGCTCTGTTCAAGAGGTTCAAGCATAATGAAGCATCCTCCCTTATACTTTGCTCTTCCCTGTGAGGAATTTTTGTGAGAAATTGTTTCTCCATATTGAGGAGTATTCAGTTATGTGTGACAATGCCACCTCTCAGAGGCAGGTTTACCACCCCTGTGAGAAGTGGGCCTTAAGATAACTGTGACAGGTTGTGTGTCTCTGTGTGTATGTGTGTGAAGCATTCACCTGCTTCTTCACACATCAGGCAATGGTTACAAGGGGTCTATTTTCCACCGCTGTTGTTGCTGCTTGAAATTTTCAGTATTTAGCTCCTGGAGAGGATAATTAACCCTTAGTCCCTTACTTACTGTAGAGTCTTTGAAATTCAGTTCCAAAAGCAAGATTGAGTGCTGAAGGGGGAAACATTACTTCAAGAACAATCAAGGTTCTGTTAACACATATCTTTTTTATTATTATCCTTAGCAACACAGATGCTCTGGTATTTGAGGAAAAAGTAAATCTTTCTTTGATATACTTAATTTAAAGATTTGTTTCATTTAGAAAGCAGCTTTATGCTTAAAACTAAGCATTTGTTTTCCACCTGTCACTCTTGTGGTCCTGTAATTTATGATGATGATGATGATGATGATGATGATGATGATGATGATGATGATGATGATGATGATGATGATGATGATGATGATTTTTTTTATTCCTTGCCAAGCTCTCCTGGAGAGACTGTAGATTTTAAATGAGTGTTGACTCCTTGAAATCAGTCTGCCAGTGAAAAATTGGGCATGAAGGGTTCTTACTGTTTCATATTTGCTGCCATGATTCTCAATGGGACGGTGCATTATACAGAGTTAGAAAGAAACAGGATGTGTCATTGATAGCATAGCTTGACCTGACCTGGTTGATATTTTAAATATCTAGTGGGGAGGGGTGCGAAATTCAGAACAGGACTATAATTTGAATACTTTACTCTTGCTGTAACACAGACCAGAACACATGTACACTAATGAGATGTTTCTTTATGAAGGACAGTGGGAATGAATATTAAATTTTTACTGCTCCCTGAATAGGCCACATCAGAAAGCAAAGAGAAAGGGAAAAGTCATAGAGGGAGGTGGCAATGATAGTGTTGTTAAGAAGGTACAAAAGCAAATCAATTGCAGCCATCATCCAGAAGAAATGTTTGAAAGGCAGCAGTAGGAAGTTGGGCTCTTGGAAAAGACCCTGATGTTGGGAAAGTGTGAGGGCAAGAGGAGAAGGGGACGACAGAGGACAAGATGGTGCTCCAGAAACAGAATGGAAAATGGGTCAATATCATTGGGATGGCATGTGTAGCCTATATATATATATCTCTCGACCCATTTTCCATTCTGTTTCAGGAGCACTTTATATATATAAGACATCTGTGTGAATGCGCCCAGTGAAATATATACCATGTGACTGTACATAAATATGACTTCCTGGAGAAGAATCGCTGGAAAAGACCCTGATGTTGAGAAAGTGTGAGGGCAAGAGGAGAAGGGGACGACAGAGGACAAGATGCTTGGAGAGTGTCACCGAAGCTACCAACATGAATTTGACCCAACTCCGGGAGGGTCTGGCGTGCTCTGATCCATGGGGTCACAAAGAGTTGGACATGACTCAACAACTAAACAACAACAACAACAACAACAACAACAACAACAACAACAACAACAACAACAACAACAACAACAACAACAACAACAACAACAACAACAACAACAAACAAACAAACAAACAAATAAAGGAAGGAAGGAAGGAAGGAATTGAAATGGTTGAAATGCCTAAGTAATTAGGCCCTTAAAGAAAGTAACAGCATTGTTATTTTAAAATATTTTGTACAACTTTTCAGGAGAAAGGTGAATTTGGTTTATGGGTACTGAAGCCCCAATGGCAATACTTCCAGGTATCTCTGCTATCTAATGAAGTGAGTTAGAGGCATGCTTTGTTTATCAATGATGAGCAGAGCTGAATGGTGCTATGCATAAATGTGGTGGACTTGTTGCAGTCAGGATTAATCAGCTGTAGCCTTCTGTGTCCTTAGATTGTTTTTCCCCAGCTGGATTTTCAGTTTTTGTATTAGAACAAGTCTGAGGTGGCCGGGAAGGCAAATATCACCTCCTTGCTGATCCTCTCCTGCAAATATCTCTTCTCCTCCCAGTGTAACACTTTCAAAGACAAGCGCAGGTTGGAAAGGCTACATTTCTCTTGCAATCTGTAGTTCTATCCTGATAGAAGGCCACAGAAAATACCCGTTTTTAGATTTGTGTGTTAGTTATCTTCAGATGACTGAGTAAATGTGCAAAGGGGAACCTAAGTGTGTCAGGGTTACCTTCCATGAGTGTATCTGAAGGAGAGTATTGCAGCCTTTCTCAATCTGAGGCTCTCCAGAGGCAATGGACTATAACTCACACCATACTCAGAAAGCAGGACTATCAGCTATTCTGGTTAAGGAGGGTGAGAATTCTCATCCAACACATCTGGCAACTGGATCTGCCAGCTTCTGGAAGGCAGAGTAATGGTATATGAACTAACACTCCTTATGTATGAATCCACAGATGGACCAATGTTGCAGCCAGCTGTACCCCATGGTTTCATACTACTTACCAAGCAAAACCGCAGGATACATTTTGTATACTTCCATGTATATTATTCCATATGAACAGCACTTAGAAAAGAGAAGTCCATTCCATTCCACATCGAATCCTTTACATGTTGAAAGCAGAAGTGAAGTGGTTATACTCATGACAGCTTTCTGCCTCCTTCCTATGTTGAAACTGATGGGGCACGTCTTCTCCCACTCAGATGATGTGCATTAGATGGTTATGAAACTGATGTTATATATTTACTCCACTAGGCATATGGCCTTCCTCCAATTGAAGGAGAAGACATACACAGACTTGTAATGTGCATATGATGTACCTTATATAAGGTCCTTCCACATGCTTGCTGAATCCATGCTTAAGGTACACTGTCATGGATGCAAGACAGACAAGGTAGCAGAACCTTGTTAAGCCCTCACCCATGCTTTCAGTGAATACGAGGCTCATGTGAACCCCTCTAATGTCATGACAAAAGAATGGACCCTCATCCTGTTTTTGATCCAGCTGCTTTCAACAGGGGAAACTGAGGTTTGATAAAAGTAATTTTTTTTAATATTAACACTCTAGTGGAGTTTATTTTCTTCAAATAGCAATAAACAAAATTATTTTCATTTCCAACTCAGCAGGTATGACCTTAACAGCAAAGCGACTCTCAGAAACAGCTTTGCACACAGGGTTCGCTTCCTTTTGGGCTACAGTCATCAGCTCTGAAGAGTCCTGAGCTTCTTTAGAAGTCTTATTTTTTACATAATAAACCAGTCCGTCTTGTACAAATATGCAGTTTGTACACAATATAGTGTGCCTGAATGCACATTTAAGTACAATACCTACACTGGAGAGAAAGTAATTGATTTAAGAGAGATGACAGCTCAGTCGTTCATTTCATACTTTCACAATATAGCAATTTTTCTAAAGCCTCTCGTTTTCTCCTTTCTTCCATGGTGCTGCTCATCTTAGCTTTCCATCAATTTACCTTAAGCATCCAAAACAGCAAGGGACGTTTCTGAATAACCTGGAGTATTCATCCTGGATCTGCAGTGGAAAGATGAAACGAACACAGTGGTTTATTAACAGGTAAATATATGCATTTTCTAAGCATCTTCCAGATAGCATGGCTTATTCTGTTTTCCATAATTTGGTTTTGGAGAGGATTACAAATGATGCAAAGGGAGTTTTCAGAACCCAGACTACAGGGTCTTGCACAAAGGCTTCAGTCCAGAATCAGATGACTGTAATTGGTAAACCTCTTTAATTATTTCATAAGATTACTGCTGTACAATTTAAAATGCCTTGCTTCTTAAATCCCAGATCTGTGAGATATAAATCAGATTTTAGAGTCTTAGGACATGATTGTGAATTATGTATGTGCATGAATTACTTTATTCATATAATGCTGCAATCCTTAATACACTTACTTGGAAGTCTGGCCCATTGAATTAATTGGAACTTCCAAGTTAATACAACTAGAATTGTAGGATTCATCTCCCAGCTTCTCCTCCCCTAATTATATTATCTCTCCTTCCCCCCCCCATGCAAGACCCTTCCAGGACCTAGATCACATGTTTACGGTTACCATGACAACAGCTGAAGCAACAGCTTTGTTCACTAATCCCTTTGCAGACTATAATACTTGTATGAACTCTCCACAAAGCTTACACCCAGCCTGCTGTGCGTTTCTCCATATTTTGTCTACATTCCTGGAGGTTCCAGGTAGAAAGAGATCGAAAACCTTCAGCAGGGTTTTCAGATTATCCATTTTGAATCTTACCAAAACAACAAAATATAAATTAACACATGCAAATTCCTTTTTTTAACTTCGATATGTTCTTACAATTTTTCTCTGTAGAAGAACAAATGCCATGTACCATCGAGTTGATTTCGGCGACCCTTTTCAGGGTGTTCAAGGTAGAGAGTACTCAGAAGTGGTTTACCATTCCCTTCCTCTGAGGGCATTCTGGGACTGTGCAGCTTACCCAAGACCACACAGCCTGGCTCTTTTGGGAGTCACAATGGGGAACTGAATTCCCATCTTCTGTCTCTGTAGCCAGGTAGCTAACTCACTGAGCTATCCAGCCAAGCCTCAATATTTTTGCCTGCTCTGCTTGTCCCATCATCCAGACAGATCGATGCTGAGCACCCTGTCACTCTCAGATATTGCCAAGCTCCCACAGTCCCTGACCATTGGCCATGTTGGCTAGGAGCCGACAGGAGAACTACAGCTTCTGGAGGATCAGACGTTGGCAGACAAAAGAACAAAGGACACTTTTTATTATTGAGCAGAGAATGACAGGAGAACCACAGCTTCTGGAGGATCAGATGTTGGCAGACAAAAAAGGACACTTTTTATTATTGAGCAGAGAATAATTGCATATGGGTTTTGCCTTTGGAAGGAAAGAAGAGGAAGAAAGCTCTCCCTCACATGCTGTTCCTACTGGAGAAAAGAGGAAAACGGCATCAAATAGAATTCTTTTTTTACTCTTAGCTGTAAGAGCAGTGCTCTAGAAAAAATGGTACTTTCAAGCCAAGCAAAACTGCAGTCGGAATTTGAAAAAGTCACTTTCCACAGCTCTGATTATGCTGTAGCTCAGGACTCATCCACACTGAGCATATGTTCAGCTTTTCTTGCACCCTCAGTACTGGTACTGTTTGACACTAGGCTGAAACTGGTATCAGCAGTGTCAAATTGAGATGAATCCTGTAGTCTTATATGTTTTGGGATTTGTTATGCCAATGCTAGGATTTGCTTTTGTTTTTGTTCTGTATTGCTCAGATTTGCACTGGTGCATGATCTGCCTTTGTGGACCAAGTACTCCATTGTACTGAGTACCACACTGATGCATACTGAGTTGTCCTGTTTGAGGGTACATATTCTGCATTGACATGTCCTTGTGGATGTGTTTTAGCTGAACTCCTTCATCCATCGCTGAGTCCCATTCTCATTTCTTTGCTTTCCATACAACTCTTTGCTTATTTTCTTTTTCTGTCTTCCTTCTTCCAATTCCCCATGTTAAGAAGGGAGAAAACATATCTTTGTGCAGCGATACAAACTGTCACTCCATTTCACTTTGGGGATATGTTTTGCACTGAGACACATTATTATACAAGTCAGAACCAAGTTATATTAACTCTAAAAGGGTTTTCAATGTGAGATATTTAAGGAGTGGCTTTATGGGTTCCATAGCCCCAGTGAGCTTCTGTGGCTGAGCGAGGATTCAAATCCAGGCCTCTTGAGTCCCAGTCCATCACTTTATCCACTATACCACACTGGTTATCCACATAGGTGCCTTTTAATGCCACAGATGATGGTTCATCCCCATCAAAATGTTGTATTTTCCATTTCTCATTTTCGGAATATAAATACAGTAAGTGCTTTGTAATGGTGCCCTCCTTTGGATGTTTGTTTTTTTTGAGAGCACAGGACTGGAAGCTCAAGCAAAGGTCATCCACAAATATAATGGTGGTGATGATGAACGGTTGAATTTTTATTTATCCAGCTTCTTCCATGCAAGTAATGGAAATGAGTATATGTCAACAAGTACACTTTCAATGCACCACAGAGTAGTCCATGTTTCATACCAACACCTGTATAGCATTAGCAACAGATTATTATGTGAGGAAAAGCAGGGGGGAATATGATGACCATAAGGAAAATTTCACACACCAATTCACTAATATAGCACAAAAATGGCAAAATTAAAATTAAAAAGGGGAGTATGGTGACATAGTGAGATAGACAGGCTGAAATAAAAAAAGCTTTTGGGGTAGTGCAATGGAATGAGAAACAGGGTGGAGGGAAGATGTTTGTCTGATGGAGTCAGGGTACACAAGGCAGAGAAAAGGGGAGAGAAATAATGGCAGGGTGCGGAATAATGGGGCAGGAGACATTTCCGGATGTCCATCTCTCAGAACATGAAACAACAATTGCTCTTTTATGTCTGGATGCCAATATTGGGATGATTGATTCAAAATCATCATCAACAACAATAGCAATAAAAACAATGAATGCCCTCAAATGTCTGTGGACAACATTACTGTGTTGGTGCACTCTCATTTTTTCACTCATGCTTTTGCTGGAGACTTGCTGTACAATAGCAACTGTTAATGAGTGTCTCAGGACACAGCTGTATGCACCAATTCTGAAATCTTTTACGTTTGCCCATCAGTTCCTGTCACATTGGGCTTCTAAGACCGTATAATATAGAACCTAAAATGAAGGGTTTATGAGGAAGTCCTTGTATCCTGCATCGTGTACAATTTTAATTTTTTTAATTTTGCCCATCCAAACACAGTGCTTGTGATTCTCGGCTTGAAAGATATGTGCATTGCCACTTACAACCACATGGTTTGGACGCAGAGTATAAAATGGATGAGAGCCCGTGTTGTACAGTGGATAGAGTGATAGACTACGACCAGAAGACCTGTGTTCAAAGCTCCACTCAGCCAGGGAAGCCTCTGATAAAAATGCTCTGCAAATATCTCACAGAACTTGAAAATCCTATCAGTGTTACCACAAATAAGCTTCAACCTTTCTTATTGGTTTAACAGCAGCTTCTTGGTCACAGGCCTGGCGAAGCTGCCCGAGCTTGTATGCATCCACTTGCCTTCTGCACTTCATGTCCCTGTGAAACAACAATCTCTTTGTGTAAAAGCAAAGGGTGAAAAGAAAACTTTTGGAAAGGAATGTCAAACATGCAAACAAATAAAGAAAAACACACCAGCAAAAAGAGAATCCGTATTTTTTAGCCGATTAGGTGTGAGCATGGCCTTAGCATATGTACGTGCATGGATGTTTTTGTGTGTTCTTTGAGCCTACTTACTTTTCGGGATAAGACACAGAGAAAGATGAAGATGAACAGTCCCTGAAATGCATTGAAGATGGTAAAAAGATATGCTGTGACTACTGATCCTTGGATGACATGTAGCACGCCGAAAATCCAGGTAGCACCCAGAAGAAAGAGCAAGGAAAGAGCACCTCGTGCACAAGACCTAATAAAATAAAATCAGAGACATGAGCATTTTCTCCCTCTCACTTTCTGCATAATTGCTCCACTAAGAGCTGCCCTGCAGTTACATGGATTTTCCTTTAGGCTGTGCTGCTGTGCTGCTGCCTGAATGGTCCCGGCCTCATTCCTTCCTAACAAATAATCACTGAGGAAAGAGCAAAACAGGCCAACTTTTTTTTTTTTGAAACAACAACAACTGGCTGCCTTAATCTTCAAAACTGTTTTCTCTGGTGTGCTGCAGAGCCATATGATTTGATTTAAAAATCTACTGTTTGTGAAATTCCCAAAGGTAAAGCATATGTCTGTTATGAAGGATACCCCTTAAGACACCCTGGAAAAAAACAACAAAGCATTGCATGCTCTTAGGTCAGGACATGTGCGTGGCATCAAAGAGATACTTTGGCCATTTCTCAGTTACAGCCTTGGAGATAGTGCTGGCTGCAAAACCAGGCTTTCTCTACTATAAGAAGGGGGCGGCTTGTGCAATGTAAAAGAAGTTTAAATTGCTGCAGTGGTAGAGTACTGGTGCCCAAATCCCATACACATCAAGTGCTTGTGATTTCACCTCTCTTTTTGGTTAGCACACTGTAATATAAGCATATCTAGCATTGCTTGTGGACTCTGACAAATTACACCATGTTGTCTTGCAAATAGGCCCACTGATTAGTTTTCCCTTTCATTTTCAGTCCAGCAGTTTCTGGACATTCTTTGAACACACACAGGAAAAAGAGCCCTCCCCTTTTCGTGCTCTTTTTCTTTGGTTGCTTCCTGAGACGTGAATAAATTTTTGACTTCATTAGAAGCAGCGCACTGTGAGAGTTGATAGGGCAAGGAAAGGAAGAAAGTGATCAATCAAACAATTGCTAAATCCGAACTATAAATCTAGTGCAGTGAGTGGAAACTGCAGGAGTGTTTCTAAGCAACAAAAACAGTGAGTTGTTTTCAATGGTCCCTGTAGCACCCTCCAGTTTTTTTCCAGCACAAACGGTTTTCAAGGTCTCTATAAATCAGTTTTAAAGAGAATGAATTGATGGAAAAATCACAGCAGTGCATGAAGTAAAATGTTTATGTGAAAAAAGGTGGGGGGAAAGGAACAAATGAACGAATCCCCATTTCTGTCTTTCCTAAGATAAGGGTAGGGTACAGACAGAGATAGGCATTTTTAAAATTTCGTTGATTTCGGTAGTGGAGGACAATATGTATATAACTTTGGTTTAATGGAATAAATGAGATTTAGGCCACAATCCTAGATATCTGGCATAAATGCCCCTGAACCTGATAGAAATTACTCAAGTGCAGTTATGTATAATCTTACACTCCTAAATTGGACTGTGCTATAAGTTTGGTTTCTTCAGAAACCATGGGGTTCTCAGAACAAAGACTGTACTTGTGTTTGAAGTACAGTTCTTAGGAAGAAGTTCCCCCAACTCTGCTCTGAATTAGAGGCCAAAAAATGTTAATCAATTCATCAATAGTTTCACTCAAGAATTTTAATAAACTTGTTTTAATCTCTAAAGGGACAGATTATGTAATGTTTATTCAAATTTCCTGGCACTTTATGATGTGTGAAGGGCTTTTCTGTTTCAGTGAAATTATGCTTCTAAATAGTCTTCATACAAAAAGGTCATTGGGATCGGTGCCGTTTAAATAAATGGCTATATAATTAAAACTCAGTGTGAGCCTTGGGCATTTGTCAGCAAGACATGTATACATTCCTTGTTATTAAGGAAATCCAAACAAGAATGCTTCAGTAATGCTAAAGCATCATAAGCTAAAACAGAATTACATCAGTGTGTGATTATTTTGAAATCGACCAAGGTAATAAATAAATAAATAAAATAAAAATGCTGAAGTTGAAATTTACCGTATGTTTTCATAGCAGCTAACTTCTGGCTTTAGCATGGCTGTTTGTCGAAATACTTTGTAGATGATGACACCAAATGCCATCAAATTAACCTGAAAGAAATATAAAAGGGGTTCCCCCGCTACTCAGTTTAAAATGTACATGTTGGAATTACAGCAGTATTTATACACTAAAAGCAAACAAATCAAATATTTTCTCCACCTTTGACAAGGGACCCCCCCCACCCCATCAAATCACTTTCATAAAACACCAAGAAGTACTATAATAGTACAGTGGGGTCTCGACTTACGAACTTAATCCGTATTGGAAGGCAGTTCTCAGGTCGAAAAGTTCTTAAGTCGAATCTGCATTTCCCATAGGAATGCATTGAAAACCATTTAATCTGTATCTGCTCTTTTTGTCCATAGAAACTAATGAGAAGCTGCTATTCCGCCTTCTGCCACTAGAGGGGGATATTTTTTCCTTTTTTCCTTTTAACCTAAGATGACTTAGCTTTAAAAAAAGGGAAAAAAGAGTTCGTAACTCGAATCTAAGTTCGTAAGTCAAGTCCATATATTCCTATGAGAGCGGTTCGTAAGTCGAAATGTTCGTATGTCGAGCCGTTTGTAAGTCAAGACCCCACTGTAACCTGGGTCAAAGAGGATTGTAACTCTATATCCTTTCAAGTACATAACTAACAGCAGCCTGCAAAAGTGTTTACTGAATGTGTGTGTGGGAAATTCACTGTATGTTTCTGTATCAGAATTTCATCCAAAACGTGTGTTCCCATCTGGGCAGGTTCCCTTAAATAAGATATATATTATTTACACACACACACAAACACACGCATACACATTTCCTCCATTTTAAAGGCTGTCCAGTCCAAGTCTGTTCTAAAGATAAACAACCCTTAGGAGAGAGAGCAGGACCTTGAAGTGACCTAGATACACCATGTGTACTTAGACAGCTCATCCAGCTTCTCTACTCGGGTGAGATGCACTGTAATTCCATAATGTCTAAATCTGTATCTGTTTTTTCAGGGTTTTCCAGGTAAAAAAAATACTCAGGTGGTTTATCATTCCCCTCTCTCTCTACCTCTCCCTCCCCCCCCTCTCTATCTCTCTCTCTCTCTCTGTGTGTGTGTGTGTGTGTGTCCCCTGGGACTGTGCAGCTTGCTCAAGGCCACATGAGCTGGCTTTACTCACAGGAAGCCCAGTGGGGAATCAAACTTCCAGCCTCTTCCTCCACAGCCAGATACCTAAATCACTGACAATATACACGAGCATTTGCAATTTTGTGCCATCTTTTATACTGCTTTTTGGTCATGTTTTGGTGGTTACTGTAGCTAAAACGTAGCATCCTACAGATGACTATATGGACCTTTCAACTTGTTTCATTAACATGCAACAGGGAAGAAAATATGGAATCCCAGTGCAAAACAAGGAACTTAAAGGGGGCTAAATGCTGAATGGAGTTTTAGTGAAATAAGTAGCTTGATTGAGTCAAAAACAAAGCTGTACTGTATTTGCTTCTCCGTGAAACCACAGCTCCTGTGTTTCTACACATTCAAACTGCTGATTCTCCAATCCCCCTTCCTGTTTCTCTTTAGTTTATCAGCTGGACTAATGAAAGCAGCAACTGCAGCATAACTAGAAATAACTGCATGCCAGGTGTGGGGAGAAAAGAGGCCCTTAACATACTCTGATATCTGCTATAATGTGTTCTTTTTATATATCGAAGGATGCTGCCCATCATGTTCAATGGGACTATTCTAGTAGCCAGTAGGTATGGGTGAACAGTGTCTCCTGAAGTTGCCCACCCCAATGAAAAAGGACACCGGTGCCCCATAGAAAATACTTTTTCCTCCCAAGCCACCAGATTCTTTTGCCCTGGTGCTATTGATAATAGGAAAGCCTACAAAGGCTTCGCTCCTCCCTTCTCAGTTTGAACACCCTTGCTGCTGACAATACCGCAGCTGACAGTTTGGCCAGAAATCAGAGTTTAATAGGAAGGGAGAAGCAGGTAGAGGTGTGAAATGGTTAAAGTCTGAAATTCTTCTATGCCTTGCATTTTAATTTGAGTCTCAAGAGAATTGTAATACTTACATCATTTTTGAGGCGAACATTTTGTGTCACTGGACTTGTATCAGATGACTGTTCTGGATGGATTATTGCCTCCCCCTTGTACGTATCACTTGAGTCCAAGGGAGCTTGGTGTTTACTGGAGTTTGTACCTACTGTATCTCTCTTCCCTCTATATCTCAGTGGTTTAGTTATCTGACTGTGGAGCCAGAGTTTGGGAGTTGGATTCTCCACTGTGCCTCCTGTGAGCAAAGCCAGCCTGGGTGGCCTTGGGCAAGCTGCACAGTTCCAGGGCACCTCCATAAGAAGGGAATGGTAAACTACTTCTGTGTATTCTCTAATTGGAAAACCCCATAAAGGGTTGCCATAAATCAGAATTGACTGGATGGCCGATTATATATTATTCTCTACTCTCTAGGAAAGTTGCAACTTTTAAAGCTATCTATAAGAATTCCACTGCTCCAGATTGGAGCTTTTCTTCTGTGACTCTTGTTTAAAGCATCTGACTGGGGTCTCACAAAAATTCTAAACTGCAAACTCTGCCATGATTAAAAAGGGCAGAGTTCAGAGTAGAATAAAAAGGAATAGAAAACTGCAGAAATCTGAGATAATGGGAATGTCATATGGATGCCAAGAAAAATACTGATAACATCAATGCAGAACCCAGTACTTAAAGGAGAACAAATGTCCTGCTCTGTCTGGAAGAACCCAAAGTCATGAAATGACATATTTCAATAGCATTTTTATTGTTAATTATATATTATAACTATTCAGGTGGGGAACAAATGTAACATCCTGCCCTTAAATAACTTCTAGAACATGGGCTTGTCACCTTCAGGCAAAGATAAATGCCTATAGATTTTCTTGGACCACACTTCCTATCATCTTTACCTTTACTTAGAGCTGATGGAAGGCATATGTCCAAAACATCTGGAGAGATGCAGTTGCCCACCCGTTATTTATTTTAAAGAAATTCTGCACACAGAGCATGGAGATCTGAGAAAAGTCAGGAGTTTTAAACTAGGCTTGTTTGTTACAAGCTATGGTCTAATTTGAAAAAAAAATTATTCACAAAGAAAAGTTACTTTCATTGGAGATTTGGCGAGTCAACTCCTCCATAAGTTCCATTGATTCAAGAGGCCTACTCTAGTTGCAAGTAACTATGTTAAATAACAGGATTTCAGATAATGAATAATTGCTTCAAAATCCATCACCTTGTTTACTATAATGCTTTTTGCATATCCATCTGAATGCACATATAGGTTGGAGGAGGGATAAAATTATGCCCATTTATGGCTGCTTCTCACACCTTGCATTTAACCAAAGGTGTGAAGGAGCCTAAGTGATTCCAGATAATACATCCATAAACATTTGTCTGCTTGGTTGCCCTTTCAATGGTCTGCGGTGGCATCAAGCCCAGGAAAGTACCCAATGCACATGCATAGATACTCCTGCACCTTCAAATACATACAGAGTAATACAAATTGCTATGAGTGACTACTTTCTTTCCTTGCATTTAACCAAAGGTGTGAAGGAGCCTAAGTGATTCCAGATAATACATCCATAAACATTTGTCTGCTTGGTTGCCCTTTCAATGGTCTGCGGTGGCATCAAGCCCAGGAAAGTACCCAATGCACATGCATAGATACTCCTGCACCTTCAAATACATACAGAGTAATACAAATTGCTATGAGTGACTACTTTCTTTCTCCCCTGGTTTCCTGCACCTTCAAATATATACAGAGTAAAACAAATTACTGGATAACAACCAGGACCTGGCCTTAATCCACTCCTCAGGTTTCTTACACTGGTACCATCTGTTGAAAACAAACCACTCAAGGGCGCAATACTTACAGACACTTACTTTTGCCCCCTTGAGAACTGCTTTCACAGAACTCCGCTTCCAAACCATGCCAACCGCTGTTTTAGATGGCAGGTACATGAATGTCCCTAAACATCTAAGGCTGTGCATCTGTGGAGCAGGTGAGATAGAGGATGTTCTCCATTATTTACTCTATTGTCAGCTATGTCAGAACCCTCGAGAAAAGCCCCTGGTAACATTTTGGCTGCTCTACAGGAGGAAAGCCCTCAGATAAAGGTGGTCAGGTTACTCTTGGACTGTGACCCTTATGTTACGTATAGAACAGCGCTATTCGCAAAAGCGGCCAGAAACATTCGGGCTAAGTTTCTGAAAGCCATTGCGATCAATTGTGTGGGAGATTCTCAGATATGAGGGGTCTCTTATTATTTTATATGTCTTTGATTTTATAATGATTTTACTTGACCATTTTTGCATTTTAAACAATTGCGACAGCTTTTATCATGTTTTTATCTGACCATTTCTGTATTCAATAATTGTGACGGCTTTTAGCTAATACAATAAACTTGATCTGAGTCTGTCTGAGTAAAACAAATTGCTATGAGTGACTACTTTCTTTCTCCCCTGGTAGGAGAGAAATTGTTTCCTGAGATAAATGAATCCACGTTGCTTGGGGCCCATGATCTGCCAACAGTCCTCCTCTTGTGCCTCATTATCTTCTGCTGAGCCTTGATCCATCTTGGTGTGTGTGTGTAAGACTGTGTGTCTGAAGCCAAGGAGAATATAAGCCAAGGCGAAGTATAAACCATGAAAACCTTGGTTTTATGGTTTATACTTACAGGATCAAGCGGCCAGCTTCCTTGACCATGATCTTCCTCAGAACTACAGCTTGCTGATTTGTGATTCGTCAGTTTTGCTTGCCTGCCTGCCTACTTTTGTGTGTCCATATAATAATTTTGCTTGCCTGCCTGCCACCAGCTATAGTTTTCTAGTAGTGGAAGTCGCAGAACATTTTTTTTTCAATAGATGCCAACCGTCACTCTGCCTGCATCCCACTGGAAACAATGTCCTGTGTTGACATGCCACCTGTAGGAGGTTGTAGTCCACAACAGTGGGAGTCCTGGTGACAACCAGCACTTGTAGGTTTGTAGGACACCTGATGTTTTGCGTCTCCTCCAAGAAGTAAAAATGGACCTTTCTGCTCACCCCACAA